TCATGTGTGCAAAAAAGAGATTGCCAAAAAGGAAATCTGAAAGAGAAAAGAGAAATCATAAAAGATAAAAAAAATGTTGTACATGGCGAAAATCAAATCTGGAAGAGAAAAGAGAAGGCTTTTTTGTTTAGGGTTGAAGAACCCAACCTGATAAGACTTTTCACTTGTGATTTGGTGGGCTGGATGAATGACGGTGATGGTGGTGACGATAGTGGTTGACTGGAGGGACAGTGGTTGATTGGAGGTTTCGTGGGAGGTGAGTGTTTAGTGTTGAGAGAATGAGCCAATGAGGGTTGGGTGTTGAGTGACGGGGACTAAGAAAAAAATTAGGGGAGGGTTTTTCGTTTTTAGCGTGGCCTTGTTTAGGCTCGTGAACACAACTCGAGCTCAAAAGCTCGTGTGAGCTCGCAAGCCAAAAAAAAGCTAGCGAGCTCACGAGCCAAGTACCAACAGGTTCGATACTCGGTCCGTGAACATATCGAACAGTTCAAGTTCGGCTCGAACTAAGCCGAATCGAATGTGAACATTATCTGAGCCGATCCTGAACCGTTCTCGAAGATTCTGATCATTTACAACCCTACAACAAACAATGAGTATCTCCACGAGTCTTCGTTTTTCTCAAACTTCTAACTTATTTGAATTGCCAATTCCACTTTCCAATCTTAAAGAAAGATAATTTCTCCTTCTCTCTATTACCATTTTGTGTACTATTTTAATTTCAACTCCATTAATTTCCATGCAACATTTATCTTTATAACACCAAATTTTCTTGTAGAGTAGAACCTCAACAACAGTAACTTCACCTTCTCAAATCACCCAAAAATCAAATGCAGCCTTGAAAACCAAAATTCCCTTTTCAACAGAAGCTAAAGAACCTGAGAAAAAGTCTCAAATCCAACCCTTAATTGACCTCTTACGTGACTTTGCAAATGAAGGGTCTTTGAAACAAGCTAAAACTATTCATGGATTTGTGTTAAAATCCAATTTTTCTGACAAAGAACTGTTAATTTTGTTGAACCACGTAGCTTATGCCAATTCGACATGCTCGAATTTTAGTTCTGCTTTTTGGGTATTTGATAAAATGTCTCAAAGAAACATATTCTCTTGGACTGTCACGATTGTTGGCTCAATAGAGAATGGCTTTTTCTTGGATGGGTTTAAATATCTTTATCAAATGCTTAATTTTGGACTCTTACCTGATGATAGACTTATGATTTTATATTTTTATTATCTTTGCATTTAGTTTATTTGGCATGTTTAATATCTTATGGTGCCTATTTGTGATGATTTTTATGTATAAGGCATTTGTGGTTAAGAGTTAGTAAAATATACTTAAAATCAAAAATTTTCGGTATTTTTACTTTTGGATGTTTTGGGCTGTTTGCAGATTTTTGATGGACTTGGAGTTAAAGTTTGGTTTTTGAACCATCTATGAAGTTAAAGTAGACATCTTAAGTTTTCCAAGTTGGGATGGCACGTCCAGAGAAGACTTCATTTGGGCCTCCAATTGTTGGTGTAAATTCAGAGCTGAAAACTGAAATCGAATCCTAATTGGAGTAGGATTTATGTCCGACCACTGGAGATTTAAAAGGGCATAACTAGAGCTTCTGAAACTCAAGTGAGATGATTAAAAAGCCCAAATTTAATTACACATCCTGAAGTACAATTCTTATGAGGGACCGAAGTCTACAAAGCTCGTTGTCCTATCCAAAACTAGCCTGGAAGTTACGGCTTCAGCCCAGAAGCTTTAATCCTTAGCTAATTTGGATTATTTTTGTATGGCTCATATTAAGACTTGGTCCAACTTCAATAGGGAGTTCAATACAAGTCTGGAGGGCTAGAAATTTGTGTGTATGAGCTGGAATTTCACTTGTACAAATTAAGGGGAGGTTTGAAGAGAAAGAAAGATGTGTTTTCCTAAAAGGGTTTAGTTATTTGCCTTAATTTTAGGAGTTGGCTTTTAAAGGGAAGCTTTTATACGTTTCTTAGAGATAGAAAATAGAACTTTTACGCTGCTAGGGTTTTGGAGGTTGGAGACAGAATGCAATTTTATTTTTCCTTTTCTTTGTGCCTTTCATCTCATCATGTCGGGCTAAATTCTTTAGTTTGATTCAAGGAAACACCAATCTGGTGAGCATAATTGTGAGACTTTGTTCTTAATCTTAGTTATTCTTCTATTCGTATATTTGTGTTTCTTTGTTTTATTAATTATGGTTGCATGAATTAATTGATTAAAGAGGCATGTTAATTGATTGATTGTGTGATTGATTACTAAACTGAATTTGTAATCCGTAATTGTTAATACTCAGTTAGAGTAGTAATTAAGCAAAACAATTGTGATCCAAGCTTTTGTTGATTGTTTAAAAGAAACATGGAATGAATTAAATAATCTGACGCTTGTTCTATTGTTATTCATCTTTAACTACTTCCTAATTCGTAATGTTATCAGTAAATTCATAAGGCTTGCATATACCAAGTGGTTTATTGATAAAAATTAATTTGTGTTAATGAACTTAGGGAAGATAAAGATTGTCTGGCTTCTTGATAATCTTTGGTTAAATATTCAATTAAAGAATAATATATGTTAGAAGTCATTGATTAGTTTGCAACTGAGGGTAATTTTCCCTGAGTCGAAAATCATTTTTTACTAAATTCTCTTTACTTAATTCTTGTTAGTAGTAATTACTCTTGTGTCAATTAATTTTTGAAGTAAAATTCCCCCCTTTTTATTTCTCTAATTCATTGTGATATTAAGTTGGGTAATTTGATCAGCTAGCCTTTGTGGATCGACTTGTACTTACTGTGATTACAAGTTGTGAGTAGAGTAATTTAATTTTTGGTTGCGCTCGACACGCATCACCTGATATTTTTGCGTATTCTGCAATTATGTAGGCATCTATTGGTTTAAAATGTATTTGTTATGTTAAACCTGAAATTATCAACTTCCTAAACTAACAAAATAAAGCACACAACCACATATTAAGAATCAAGAATGAAAAAGAGGCACAACAACACACACCAAACTTTTACAGTGGTTCACCTATCCAAAATTGGATAGACTACATCCACATTGAGCTTCAGTATAATTGGGGCTCACTGATAATCTGAGGATTATACTATATTATTTAAGTTTTTAGGTCGGATTTTAGATACTTCTTAGTTCATTTATGCCTGAATTGCTACTTAATTCCTTACATTTCGTGTTTCAGGTTAAAATGGGCAATTTGAGCGAATAAAGATGGAATTGAAATTTCTGGACTCAGAAGTAAGCGGATCTCAGAAGTTGGGAGAGTTCTGAAGTTGAGTCAAGCACGATGAAGCTTGTGCCCAAGGGAGAGCACCGAAGATCGAAGATTCAAGCAAAGAAGCGAGCGGAGGGCAATTCTGTAATTTCAGAATTCTTCAAGAAGCTTCGCCGCGGCGAAGGTTGTTCTTCGTCACTGCAAAATGAGCCAGTCACGCACCGATTCAGCTTCTTTTGTTGCCACGGCGAAGTCTGCATTTTCTAGTTTTTGTAAAACGCACAGTTTTACTTTTTAGTGTTTTCTTAGGATTTTGGGTGAGGTATAAAAGAAAAACTTAGTCTTTTTGCTAGGACTTCGTCTTCGAGTAGGGTTTTGGAGCTTTTTACATTTTCTTAGATTCATTTTGGGCGAACTTAGATCTAAAGAGGGTGAAGATTTGAGATTAAACCAGTGGATTCATCAATTGGGGAGATTTCTTTTCTTTTCTCTTGTTTATATTATGTTGAACTTCGGTATTTTCGTTTCTTTTGTTTCTTTTGTTGATTTAGCCATGAACTAAACTATTTTGGGTTAAGGTTTTGATTGTAATTCGGAATTTCATGGGTTAAGTGATAGATTGTTTTCTTTTCATATGATTTTGCTTTGATTGTGTGTTTACTCTGAATTTACTGTTTATATGTGATGAACATGATGAGATTGAGAAATGAATCATGTTAGGCTTCTTGGGTAATCACCATTGTAGTATTGGATGCTAGGGATAGATTCAAGAACCAATAAAATCAATCTAGGATTCTTGTGCTTAATGAGCTTAGATTTATTTACCTTCAATTTGTTGGGTGCGGAAGGTTAATAGGGAAGAGTAGGAAAACATAGCCTGAGAAGGAAAGTTTGACAGTTGAGAGAATTCGATTTACAATCAATGCATTTGAATATGAATCTAGTTTAATTCTTTAGGTTTAACCTATAGAGTCTGAATGAAGTCAAAACCTTACCCGTTTGTTTAAATTGATTTTATCCGTGTTTCACATCTTGCGTTCATAGTTAAATTTTAGTTTAATAAATTTTGTTTTAGTCTTAGTATAAATTGCTCCCATTAATCCAAGAGAATTCGATTGCTTCAACTTGAGAACAGTAGGAAACTTAGTGATTAGCGAACAATCCTCGTGGGAATGATACTCACTCATCACTCTATTACTTGAGCGATTAGTATACTTGCTATATATTGCATGTTGTAGTAACAACGCATCACTCACTGCACTAAAGATCAAGAGATTCAAGATGTACAACTTCTCCAAATTACAAAATAATCACACATTCTGCTAACTCCCTCGAATCCTTAATTGTAACCCCTTTTCTATGAGAAATCTAACCTTGTTTCTTAGCCATTGAAGGACAACTAAACCCCCAATACACATTACACAAATCACAAAAGATTACAAGAATTGAACTGATTTGAATAAACCCTAGCAGAAGCACTATTTTAAAAAGTCGAAGAAGGAGTGAATCTGCTCAATTTTTGCTGCTTAAATAGGTTGACTTGTTTGGTAGATGATGGTCATCAGATTAGGTTGAAAGCAATGGCTAGGATTGACTCTTGAGATGGCTTGAAATGGCAATGTTTGGATTAATATCCAACGGCACCGTTTTAGCTTCACTTCAACAATCTCCACCTTGAAGCTCAAACTCTCCCACCAACTTTAAAACTCCACAATTACAGTAAGCACCCAAGAACCCTTCACAACCCGATTGTTGTTTTTACTTCACAAATAGCAAGTTCAAGCAATGCTTGAACTTAGTAGCCATGACCACCTTTGTGCCATCATCAGCTAGGTTATCTTCAATGGCCACCTTCTTTAAGTTGATCACCTCTTGAGCAATCAATTCTTTGACAAAATGAAATTGCACATCCATGTCTTTGGTCCTCTCATGGTAGATAGGATTCTTGCTAAGGTGAATAGCACTTTGACTGTCTGAATATATAGTCACCAACTCATCAAGTAATTGCATTTCTGACAAGATTCCTTGAAGCCAAAGAGCTTTCCTAAATACATCAGCTACAACAACATACTCTGCCTTAGTTGAAGAGAGTGCCACAATCGGTTGAAGTTGGGATTTGAAGCTTACACAATTCCTACCCAATGTGAAAAAGTAGGAAGTAGTTGACTTCCTAGTGTCCCTATCACCTGCAAAATCAGAGTCTACAAATCCCACAAGATCAAGTGATTTTCCCATTTTACAATACTCCAAACCAACATGTGAAGTGCTATTGATATATCTTAATACCCATCTTAAAGCACACCAATGTTCTGTGCCAGGATTTGACATAAATCTCCTAAGGAGTGAAATGGCAAAGGACAGATCAAGTCTGGTACTGATCATTGCATACATAACAGACCCTATAGCATTAGCATAGGGTACATGTTCCATTTTAATTACTTTAGCATCAGATTTAGGAGCCTGGGATTTACTTAACACAAAATGACCAGCTAGGGGCATAAAAACTAACTTAGAACCAGATATACCAAATTTCAAGACCAATTTTTGTATGTAAGAGGACTAATGAATTTTCAGCTTATAGTTGTTTCTGTTTCTCTCTATTGTCATCCCTATGATTCTTTTAGCATATCCTAAGTCCTTCATATCAAACTCAGAATTGAGTTTTGCTTTTAGTTCATTAATCCTAGACTTAGATTTGCTAATTAACAGTATATCATCCACATACAAGAGAAGATATATAGGCATGTCATTATCCAAGGCATAATAAAAACAACTATCATATTTACTCCTACTAAACCTAATACTTATAATAAAAGCATCAAATCTTTTATAACATTGCCTAGGGGACTATTTAAGTCCATATAAGGACTTATGCAACAAACAAACATGATTAGGAAGGTTATGATTTATAAACCCAGCCAGTTGTCTCATGAAAATTTTCTCTGCTAAGTTACCATGCAAAAAGGCAATCTTAAAATCAAGTTGCTCTATTCTAAATTTTGATGAGCTACCACGGATAACATGAGCTTGATAGTTTTATACTTAACTACATGGGAAAATATTTCATTAAAATCTATACCTTCTCTTTGGGTGTAGCCTTTGGCTACTAATCTCGCCTTATACCTAGGAGGGTCAGAGAGATTTATACCTTCTTTTACCTTGTAAAGCCATCTACACTCGACCAGTTTTTGATCTTTAGGATTTGGAACCAAGGACCAGGTCCCATTTAGCTTCAGGGAGTGTATCTCTTCTTCCATGGTAGCCTACCACTTCTCTCAGTCCTTTGACTTGATTTCCTCCTCATAACTATCTAGTTTTGTTCTTTGTACTTTAGAATTAGCCACCAGTGTAGTATATATCAGATCAGTGTGAGTATTTGGCTGGAGGTCTAATTTCCCTTCTGGTTCTATCTCTAGTAAGTTGATAATGAGAAAGTGAACCATCTTGAGGTTCTGCAGGGTTTTCTACTGGTTCATTTTCATAATCAAGTTCCAAGGCAGTTGTACTAGTCTTGGCATCAAGATCTTTTGCTTCAAGTTGAGCTATTGAAGGCTCCACCTCAATTTGTGTACTAGCCGATTGATCTTCACTCAAATGAGCATTGCTTGAGGTGTTTACATCATGGATGGTGGACTTGCAAGGAACCTAATTTTCATTAAAGATAACATCTCTACTAATGATAATTTTTATTCCTGGTGCATTTCTCTCCCATACCCTATACCCCTTTGTCCTTTCTTGATATCCTAGGAACACACATTTGATAAATCTTGGTTCTAGTTTCCCTTCATTTGTGTGTGCATAGGCAACACATCCAAAAGTCCTAAGGTGACTTATGTTTTGCTTTCTATTAGACCATTTCTCTTCAGGGCAAACAAAGGTTATGGCACTAGAGGGACTCCTATTGATTAGGTATGCAGCATTATTCAAGGCTTCCCCCTAAAATGTTTTTGGTAACCTTGATGTGAACAGTACACATCTAACTTTCTCTAGTAAGGTCATGTTCATCTTTTTAGCAACCCCATTTTGCTGAGGGATTTTCCTAACAGTTCTATGCCTAAGAATCCCATGATTGCTACAGAATTGATCAAACTCTGAATTGCAGAATTCTAACCCATTATCTATCCTAAGGGCCTTTACCTTTTTGTCTATTTGATTCTCTACAAATAACTTTTAGCTCTTAAACCTATCCAGAGCCTCATCCTTAGTCTTAAGTGTGTATACCCACACTTTTCTACTAAAATCGTCTACTATGGAAAGGAAGTAGCTACTTCCCCCATGTGATTTCACCTTTTCAGGACCTCACAAGTTAGCATGAAGGTATTCTAAATAGTTTGTAGCAAGGTGAGTTCCTGTTTGGAAACTCACCCTGTGTTGTTTACCCATTATGCATGTTTCATAGAAATTAAGAGTGTCAATGAAATCATTACCATTGCTTGCTTAGGATATCTGATCTTTTTTTGCTCATGTGGCCAAACCTGAGATGCCACTTTTTTGTAACAGTAAAGTTAGTAGAAAACAATGCAGAAATAAAGTAATCTAGGCAGTAAGTCCCTCACAGGATATATAGACCATTACTTTTTACTCCCTTTAGAATAATGTTATTATTTTTATACATATTAAGGCAGCCCTTTTTAGCATTGCAATAACACCCAAACTCATCTAGAGTTCCTAGTGAAATCAAGTTCCTCTTCAGTTCTGGAATATACCTAACCCTAGTCCGTTTGACCAATTTCCCATTGTTAAGCCTTAAAGTGATACTTCCAATCCCCTAGACCTTACAAGCATTATTGTTTCCCATGTACACAGTCTCATACTGGTTAGTCTCAAAATCCTAGAACCACTCTTTGTTAGGGCTCATATGGAATGAACAACCAAAATCTAGAACCCACTCCTGCACACCATCAGACTTAGACATAGCTAGGACTTCAGATTCCTTAATATTATTTTTAGTGGTGGCCAAATTACTCTCTGTATTATTCTGTTTCTGTTTTTTAATCCACTCCAAACAATTCTTTTTTAAGTGCCCTATCTTGTTGCAATAGAAACACTTCCTAGTTTCCCCTTTTGGTTTGTGTGTGTTTTTACCATTCTTTTTATTCCTAGGACTAGTGTAAAGTGAGTACTATTACCCATCTATCTCGATTCTCCCTTTGCTTTTACAAACAAGTTATTCCCATTCCTCTTTTGAACCCTAAATTCTAGTTCCCTAGCCTTTAGACCTAAGACAATTAAATCAATGCTAGGGACTGTGCCAATGTATTGCAAAGCATTTTTTTACAACATGATATTCTTCTGTAATTGAGTTCAACAAGATCATTGCTAAACTAGATTCATTGAGTTCTTGATCAGTACCCTTAAGAACTAGGGTCATTTTCAAGAACTTGTCCAGGTTTTCCTCCACAGTCTTAGAACTATCCATTCTGTATGAAAATAACACAACTTCCAAACATGCTAAATTAGGTGCAGACTATAAAGCATAAAGGGATTTGAGCTTACCCTAGAGAGCAATTGGTGTCTCAATACCATCTACCTTTCTCAAAACGTTGTCGGAGAGATTCATTATGATGAGGTTGTAAGCTTCCTTATCAACCTCCGCCTTCATCTTCAATTTCTCCTCAGACCATTTAGTTGCTTCTTTTTCCACTGCGAGTGCCACCTTGTTGTGGGACAATAGTGCCTTCATCTTCTTTTTCCAACTATTAAAGTCAATCTTCCTATTGTACTGGGCGATCTCAACTCGAGTTGTACTCATGGTGGTTTAAAGTGTTTGAGTTCTTGATTAACCAAAGAAACCTGAGAAGACTCATAAGAAATCAAGATTGATTTCTATATCTAAGAAATTTATAATGCTAATTTAAGGATTTACTAACCCTAGACTACCTCGAGGCTATTTAACAAGAAACCCCTAAAAATTGATAACACTAGATTTCAAGAACAGAAACCCTAAGATTGACAAACCCCCAAACATGGGCTCTGATACCATTGATATGTTAAACATGAAATTATCAACTTCCTAAGCTAACAAAATAAACCACACAAATACGGATTAAGAATCAAGAATGAAAAAGAGGCATAACAACACACACCAAACTTTTACCATGGTTCACCTATCCACGTCGAGCTCTAGTAAACTTGGGGCTCGCTGCACTAAAGATCAAGAGATTCAAGATGTAAAACTTCTCCTAATTACACAATAATCACACACTGCTAACTCCCTCAAATCCTAAATTGTAACCCCTTTCCTATGAGAAATCTAACCCTGTTTCTCAGCCATAGAAGGACAACTAAACCCCCAATACATGATAAGAGCTTGAAAATACACATTTACTTAGTGGTTTATGGGGATTATTTATGAGAAATTAGGCTTAAGTTGGTAAATTTGCTTAATATTTTCATAATTGTCTTTTATTGGATCACGGGTGTGTTTGAGTGTTTTTTAGGTTTTTAGTGCTAAATGTTATGCTTAGATGAAGAATCATGTCAGCAATGGAATGAGTGAAGAGTAGAAACAAACGGATCAAGAATCGGAGTTGAAGTGAAGAAGTTATGGAGCTTTGAAGTAAAGAGGAATTTCTAGATTACGCTCCAGTTTGAGCACGCCTCAGTGTTTTGACAATAACTCGAGCTATAGACCTTGGATTAAGACAATTATTTGACTATTGGAAAGCTGATTCAAAGGGATACATTTCATATGCTTACCACTTCTCCAGATTCCATTGTTATCATACTAAAAAATCACCATCTCTGGAGTGCTGAGGAATGATGCGAGTTTTGGATTAAAGAAGAAGACTTATCACTATGCTGCAACACACTTTGTCCAGAATTGACCATGCCGTAGCATAGTGTTGGGGCACAGTCATGGCAGTTAGGAATTTTTCTTCCATTTTTTATTAGGAAAATAGGGTTAAGAGTCCTAAACTAAATAGAATTAAGGAAAATAAAACTCTAACCCTTGTGGGATATAAAGAGAAGTCTTTTAGCATTATTTTTGGGATTCTTTGGGGAGAATTAGAGGAGCCTAACACAAGTGAAGATCAAAGTGACATAATTTCTGGAGCTTTTGATTTGCAATATAGAGAAGTCTTCTTATTTCTTTCTTGAACTCATGTTGATTATTTTAATAAAGATGATTGTTTCTTTCATGTTGATTATGAACTAAATTTTTCACTAGGGCTAAGAAGTAGCCCAATCTCTTGATTATGTGTTGATTTATTTATGTTGGTTTTTATTAAGATTTCTTCCTAAGTTTTATTATTATGCCTAATGCTTTTGATTCTTAAGGGCCCACGTATTGAATGAACTAATGGACTAGGTTGAGATCGAAAGATGATACTTAGTTGGTCTACGATAGTAAAACCATAGGTTGAGTGAACACTAGAGATAGGATACCGCGACTTGTGAGGTTTTGGTAAACTCCATTGAGCGTAATGATCTCCAATTGCTTAAATCAGATTATAGATAATTGATAATTGTTTGAGAGAAAGTTATTGAAAATTTAGGGAGTTTGACCTTTAGGAAGAGCTTAATAAAATTAGAATAAGTAATCAATACATATATAAGAATAAGAGTTGGTGTGAAATCTATGCCCTAGGTATAATCATCTTGCATTAAAACCAAAGATTTATTAGTTGTTTTCTTTTCGGTTTTCTTTTAATTTCAATTGTTATTTTTTTAATTTAATTTTTCTTGATAAAATTTGGGTTAATCAAATAGCAATAGGATAGTTAATTTTGGTAACTGATAGTAGTAATTCCCCTGGATTTGACATCCATATTCATACATTTTATTACTTGCATGATTTCGTACACTTGTGAAAATTCACAATAATACACTATTACACAGATCACTAAAGATTACAAGAATTGAACTGATTTGAATAAACCCTAGCAGAAGCACGATTGTGGAAAGTCAAAGGAGTGAATCTGCCCAATTTTTTTTGCTTAAATACGTTGACCTGTTTGGTAGATGATGGCCGTCAGATTGGGTTGAAAGCAATGGCTAGGATTGACTCTTAAGATGGCTTGGAACGGCAGTGTTTGGATTAATATCCAACGGCACTGTTTTAGCTTCACTTCAACAGTATTGAATTGGTGGAATGGTGCATGCCCAGTTTGTTACAAAAGGCTTTCATTCTCATACTTTTTTTGCTACATCTCTTCTTAACATGTATGCAAATTTGGGGAGTATTGTGGACTCGAATAAGGTTTTTGATACCTTGACAAAACATAATGAAGTTTCTTGGAATGCAATTATTTCGGGTTTTACATTAAATGGACTGCATTTGGAATCATTTGATCATTTCCTTCAAATGAAGAATGAAGGAATCAGGCCGAATATATATACAATAATTAGTATTTCAAAAGCCGTAGGGCAATTAGGTGATATGGACAAAGGGAAAGAAGTTCAGTCTGTTTCCTTTGAGTTGGGCGTAGAGTCTGATGTGCAAGTGGGGACAGCTCCCATTGATCTGTATTCGGAATGTGGACTCCACATGAAGCAAGAGCTATTTTGACTCAAATTTTAGTAGTTTTGCATGGAGTGCCATGATTTCCGGTTATTCACAAAATGGTTGTAGCCAAGAAGCTTTGGAACTCCATGTAAGAATGCGTCATAATAATATAAAATCGGATGTCTATACATATTGTAGTATATTCAATGCCATTGCTGATTTTAAGTATTTACATTTCGGGAAGGAAGTTCATGGGATGGTTTTGAAGTCTAGTCGTGATATGATGGTTATTAGTGTTTGTAATGCAACTGTTGATGCATATGCCAAATGTGGAGCTCCTGAATACGTAAAAAAGAGTTTTTACGGGATGGAGGAGAGAGATATGGTGTCATGGACAACCCTGGTGACTGCTCACTCTCAATGCTCGGAATAAGAGGAAACACTGGCTATTTTTTAACAGATGAGGGAAAAAGGTTTTAGACCCAACCAGTTTACCTTCTCTAGTGTGTTGGTTTCTTATTCTAGGCTTTGTTTTCTTGAGTACGGACAGCAAATTCATGGTCTTTTGTGCAAGGCTGGGTTGGACAAGTACAAGTGCATAAAGAATGCTCTGGTGGACATATATGCAAAATGTGGCAGTGTAAATGAGGCAAAGAAGGTCTTTGAAAGAATCTTTGAATGGATTTCTAACCCTGATACTGTCTCATGGACAGCCATGATATCGGGTTATGCCCAACATGGTCTCAGAGGATGTCGTTCGACTCTTTAGAAAGATGGAGCAACTGGGTATGTGTTGGAACCCACTCCTCAATCAATTCAGATAAAGCAGAGAGCAAACACTTTAAGCAATAAAAATAAGGACATAAGGCTAATCAACGGGAAACACCAGAATTGAAGAACTTATCTTTATATATATATATATTAACAAAAGAAGAGGATAAAAGCTATACCAAGAAGGAATTAGCCAACCTCAATGCAAACATGAAAGAAAAATAACAAAACGGGCAGGAAAAGATTAAGAACCAGGCTGAACTTCGAGGGTCAGCATCCTCCCCTGTTTTCCCTTCCAATTTTCCAGATATCCTTTCTTCCCTTTTTGCCTCCATTTTATTCTTTTTTCTATCTAACAGAATTCTTCTCATTTCCCACCAATTACTGCCATTGGTCTACCCAATAACTAATTTTTAACACCGTACTCAACTGAATCTTCTTGTCACAACCCCATAATCCCCTACTTGCCTCTCTCGGATTTCCTATTATACACCACAAATTTGATGGTCTCATCATTACCCTCCCCAAGAAAAGCCACCTTGTCCTCAAGGTGGAAAGAAGGAAACTGACGGTTGAGAGTGGTAAAGTCTTCCTATGTGTTTTTATAATGAGGCAGTCCTTTCCACTTGATAAGGAATTCGTGGTCTCCATTCAATAACCGATGTATTTTCAATACTTCTTCAGGTTACACATTTAGGACCAGGTTCTCATCAAGGTTGTCTAGTAGGGGCTGGGTAGTATGTAGAGGGACATTAGCCCTCTTGAGCTAGGAAACATGAAACACATTGTAAATACAGGTTGTCGGTGGTAGTGTTAGCCCATAGGCGATTGAACCTATCTTGTCAGAAATCACATAAGGGCTATAATACCTTGGACTCAACTTCTCATTAAATCTGGTGGCTAAGTAGTGATGGCAATGAGCAGGGCCGGGAAAAGGTACCCCTTGGCCAAGGCCCAAGCCCGACCTCATGACAAAGGCCCAAGCCCGGCCCGGGCCTGTCACGGGTATGACAGGTAAAGCCAAAGCCAAAACCGACAAGATTTTTGTAACCTCAGGCCCAGCCCAAGACAGCCAATTTTTATAATGTGAATTTTTAAATATTAATAAATTGTAATTTTTTTTTTTTAATTCTAGAAACAATTTTTAAATATTAATTTATTTTTGAATACTCACCAAATATATAAATAACTTTCTACAAAGTGCATCCATCTATCCATGTAGGGTTTGGAAAAAATGAGTATATATATATATATATAGGATAATCTTGTAATTAAATATATAGTATAAGGGTAATTTAGTATAATTAATACTAAAATTTCAGGCCGAGCCTAAAGACATACCTAGGCCCGGCCCGTACCCGAGGTCGGGCCTTAAAATTAGGCCCAAGCCCGCGAACATCGGGTAAAGCCCGGCATTTTTGGGCTGGGTCGGGCTGGGTACTCGAAAATATCGGACCCATTGCCATCTCTATGGCTAAGGAGTGGAAGCGATAAGGTTGGAGTTTCAAATAAACTAACTCACCCACCTCAAAAGTTACTTCCCTTCATTTCCCATTAGTATAGATCTTCTTGCGGTTTTGAGCCTTAGCGAGGTTGTCCTTAAATTCTTGCAATATGAAATTGCGATCTTGTAATTGTTGGTTCACCTCATCTACCACAAAACTGTTGTCACTATACTTCAGGAGAGCTTGTGGGTCTCGACCATAAAGTGCCTTGAAAGGTGTCATTCTTGTACAACTACTGTAGGTAGTATTGAACCAATATTCTTCCCAATGTACCCATTTTGGCCATTGTTGTGGTTGACCACTCACAAAATAGCAAAGATAAGTTTCCAAGCATCTGTTAAGTACCCCAGATTGGCTGTTTGTTTGGGGTTGATAATCTAAACTCATAAGAAGATGGGTGCCAAATCGCCTAAACAACTCTTTCCAAAAAAGACTCATAAACACAGTCGCGATAAAAAACAATGGTGTGCAAAAACCCATGTAGCCGTATGATTTCTTGTGCAAACAAGGCTGCCACATCCTTTGCAGTGTAATGGTGTTTGAGAGTGAGAAAATGGTTGTATTTTGTGAGTCAATCTACAATAACTAAAATAGTATTGCCAGTAGTTGATTTACCAGTGTATTGAACTCATCCAAATGTGCAGCAAAAGAATCCCTATCATGCATATGTAGATTATAGAGTTTCTTGCGACGGAACAACATGTTCACCAAAGACTTACTCAGATACATATTTTCTAACTTCTTCCATAAACCCATAGCCTTAACCTGATCCATCACATTTGTTAGAACGAAGTCCTCAAGGTAAATGCAGATTAAACCTCTGGCTTTTCGATGCACCTTGTCCCATTCTACAAGTACGGCACGATCAGCCGCTGATAATTCTCCTCCAGATGCCATTATAGGTACAAACCCAAGCATAGTTGACACTGTAATTCTAGACTTTTCACTCGTTGTAGTAGCGACTATCCCGACTGTTGGCCTATCATTCCCAATTACACCCCACAAATCCCTATCAACGATAGATCTTCCATCCGCAATTTCCAACGCTCAAAGCGTTTACATCGAACTTCTCAATTTCAACCTCTAAGCCCGTCATCTCTAAATCACAACCTAAACAAACCTAAAGGCTTTGATACTAATTGAAACAATTTAGAGTAATACAAAATCAAGACTGAAAACACACACAAATATCAATTGAGTAAAGAGAAAGAAATATACGCACAATTTACCTTAGTTCACAACTATTTCAACACTAGCATGGGGACTAACTACCCTACTTACAGTGCTTATGCCGCAGCACCTTCTGGGAACCCGCCATGTAAAAATGAGGTGCTGCCAAGTGTATAAGGAAATAAAGTTACGCCTTGGCTATTAGCTATGGCTTTTGGCCTAGTGTTAAGCATTTGATCCTTTCAACTGGTATCGGAGTGAGCTCCCTTTTACTTACGCCAGTCTTATGGGGGACTGGCATCGAGACTGACCGCCCTACCTACGGTGCTTATGGCACAACACCTTCTGGGCACCCACTAAGTAAAGATCGGGCTCTACGTTGCCAAGTGTATAAGGAAATAAGTTGCGCCTTGGCTATTAGTTTTAGCTTTTGGCCTAGTGGTAAGTGTTTTATCCTTTCAACAAAAAGAGAAAGGTGTGTAAAAGGAACCACGGCGCTTATGGCGTCGCACCTTCTGGGCAACTACCATGTAAAGATGGGGCTGTACGCTACCAAGTGTACATAAGGAAATAAAGTTGCGCCTTGGCTATCAGCTATAGCTTTTGGCCTAGTGGTAAGCGCTTGTCCTTTCAACAAAAAGAGAAAGGTGTCAAAAAGGAACCAAGATATAGTTGGATTTCTGTACAAGGTAAAGTCCACAAATTCTATGCAGGCAATCAACAACATCCACCAAATGATGACATCTATTCCAAGTTAGAAGAGTTAAGGGAGAAGGTTAACATGGGTACCAGACTTCAATATTGCTTTGTGACTATATTTAAGACAAATTTTAGAACTATACACTTTCAAGTAGGCTCAAATTATCATTTTGTCAAGATTATCTAAAACAAGACGTATAATAGAACATCTTGGCATTGGTTTCACCGGAAACAGCATGCATATGGGTGTGTAACCATCTATTTATGATGGCAAGTTTAGGCCACAATCTTGCAATATTTTCAGAAACGCGGAGACAAACTGAGAAAAAGACTTCATGAACATTAATCCTTTCTTCTCACAGATCCTTGAAACCAACACAAAACAACATTTATTCAACCAATGCATTTTAGCTTATATGATTAGAAGGGTGGTTCAAATCAAAGGCTTTAATCATATCCTTAATATTTATAGATATGTTTGAAGGTGAAGTAACTTGTTTAGGGTAAAAATATGAAAGAAGAACACTACAATTTTCATCAACAACTCAACTTCTGAAATTTGTTCATTAAATTTTATGCATTATTGGAATTTTTTATATTGAAAAAAGAAAGGTAAGAATATATATATATATATATACATACTTACTTTAATTAAAGGCAATTCAATTTATTGCTTTCCTCAACATGAGCGTATGAGGAAAATTCCACGAAACAACTGAGTATCTTCACTTTGGCCTTTAGTGATTGCAATTTCAAACGGTTGTGAACAAAATAAACTAAGCAATTGTGATAAAGTTGAATGAAGATAAAAGGAAATTGCTTGTGTGATACTATTCCTCTTTGCACATCATTGAATGAAGTGTTACATCATTTCTTGTGCATCTTTCCTAACAATATCCAGCAATCACATTTAGTCTTGCTTGCTGATGCAAACTTTGAGGAAGTATCTCAGAAGCTTAATTTCTTTGTGATAAAGCTTATGGAAATTTCCTGGCTACATTATTCTACTTGTTTTCGTCTTGATTATTTCTCTATCTATTCTTCGCCTTCCTATAATTAGGGTGCCGAAAGAAAATTTCCTGGAAAAAAAGGAATATGAACAATGCATAACTCAATACACCTTCATTGAAAATTGGAATCATTTTATCAACTTTTTCTTTTTCACTTTTGTTGAGTGTTGAAAATGTGGATTTATTTTGTGATTTGGGGTGAAATTGTAAGAAATTCAAGTTTCAACGCATTATTTAGGATGAGTTTCCCTACTTGTTTTGTTATTTCCCAGAATCATGGGTATTGTTGTGTTTTCAGGTATTCAGGTGCAAAAAGATGGATTATTCGTGCTTGTGTTGGTGTTCGGACATCCTAGACTCGTCGAGTGCGGATAAATCAAAGCGAGCAGAAAAAGAGTGAAATTCCACATCTGAGTTGTAGCACACTTTTCTGAGTTGTGGCGTGAAATTGATGAAATCCAAATTATGCCGGTGCAATTAATCTGCGCCACGACGTGATAAGGTTTTTTTCGAAGGAAAAATCGCCCAGAGTTGCGCCGTGGCACAAATCGCAGTATTTGGAAAAACTCCGCATTTTCAACACTAATTTTGGTGACCATTATTTATAATTATGCCATTTTACCTAAAAACTATATAAAGGCAACTTTACTCCGATTTTCAGATATATTTGGGTTTTATAAAATACTTTTTCAACTTTGGAGGCTTGGGAGAGAGTGATTGATTGTGTAAAGCTAAACCTTGATCATCTTGAGTGGATTTTGCATCCAAATGCGTAATTGTAAGATCAATATATATATATATATATATTTTTATTTTATGAGTAGCTAAACTCTTTCCTAGTGTATCAAATGTAATCTAATTAGACTACTTTATGTTTATTGTTGAATCGAATGTTTAATTGATCCAATGGTATCTTAGTTTCATTCATTTATGTTTATTGAGTTGATTAATCATTATTATTGCATGATTGCCTTTGATTTACGGTTGAATGGTTGTATGAGTCAAGGTTAGGCTAGACGCCACTAGCTAATCTTGAATATCTATTGATCTTTGATCGTTATTGATGTCTGATTGTGTTTAATAGTTGATTGATTGACTATATGAGTTCGGAGTAGGCTATACGCCCTTAGCTAATCTCAGATTGCTCTGATGAACGATTGATTTATATCTGTGTGATGCCCTTGACATATGTGAGTTGGTTTGTGTTCATTTTGGTACTTTTATGCATAATGAGCTTTTGTGATTTAAACTAGGCTACACGCCACTAGCTGGATTATGAAAACACTAGGTTTATCCAGCTAACCACGGGACGACCTTACCTTGATAATTATTGACTCCAAGAATTGGATCGATAAACATCGGTTAGATTAATAACATAAAGTAGGATAACTATGGTGAAATTGGATATACTAGACCATTTCTCATTGTCGTTCACTTGTTTAGATATCGTTTTTATCTTAGTTGTAATTTCAGTATTTTTGTTATTCTTATTTGAATTTTAGTTAATATAAATTTTATTGAATTGTTGGATATTTTTATTATCCCACTTGATTTCATTATTTTAGTTGTTTTTACACATTATTAGATTAATTGATAGCTTGACTCTCTGTGGAATCGATAATTACTTGTGCACTTTACTGTAATAGCGACCCGTGCACTTGCGGAGGAATTAAAGTTGTTTTTAACCAATCAACTTTATTTTAGTCTATTCCATGTTTTGTGCTTGCTGTTAAAAGAGTTCATTCATTAGACCTGCCTGAAATTGTTTTCATCAACTGTTTTAGAGGGTAGCTGTAAGAATATATATGATTCAAGCTTACAAGGTTCAGACAGCTAATGCTATGGTAGAATATCCTTCTATCAAACAAATCTCTTCGGCTAAATGGCATATAACTGCAATTGAAGTTCCTCGAGGACTGGTGTTTCTAGATATGTCAAACAAGCAAGATATTTGCAGAGACATCAACCCCTCCAATATACAGCATGATGGGGTAAGTTTTTTCTTGATGCTCTTTTGGTTTTTGTAAACAATGTAGAAAAACTGAATAATATCCTAAAATTGTTTATGTTTTGTTACACTAGGATGTTATGGAGACAAGTTTCCTACCTCATACTCCCAGCAACTCCAGACCCGAGAACGCCATGGATGCCGGTGGCTTCACAGATTCGGAAGCCTCTCCTGTCTTACCCGTTTGCGTGAAGAAAGATTCGGAAACAAAAAAGAGTCCACAGAGGAAGAGGCCTTTGAGAGCTAAAGATTTATTTAAGAAAGCATTTTCGTGGTGGCACCAGAACACTTGCCACATGAAAAATAAAAAAGAGTCCAAAAGCAATGTTTACCATCACTTATTGCTCATCTCCCCATTGTTGGCATCTATAACGCTCCACACAACCTTAAAGATCCAAGGATAGAGAGTGGAAAAAGCTATGAATACAATTCCAGCATAAATGATGCTGTCTGCCAGACTGGAAATCAATATTATTTCTATTCAAACTGGTTGATCATTATGTTTAATTCCATCGCCTTTTTCTTATCGGTAGCATTGCTGATGAGACTCTTCAACGAGCTTCCACTCAGGCCATTGTTACAAGTTTTTCAATGGTTGGAGCTTGCCTGTGCACAGTATTGGACCCTTTCAAGCCTCGCTCGTGCTCTCCTAGCCCCTATTGATATTGTTGGAATAGCACCCAGCGAAGCTCCTCTTTTGCTGTAGAAATAAAAGTGTTCCAATGCCTACAGGCAGGTAGAAAATATTATCAAATATATGTAAAAGTATGATATATAAATCCGGGCAAAACCAACTCTGGTTCAAGCTCAGTTGGCTCCAGTGTGAAACAGCCCAGGGTTTTTCAGTATTATTGATATATAATTTTGTACTTTTGGGGTGAAAAATAATTTAGTATTGACGGCCGTTATTGTGAATTTAACATGACAGGGGTAAATTAGACTTTGATGTTTAATATTTGATTTAAAAGAAAAAAAAAACCTCACAGGAGAATTTATTAGTGCGAAACTTAAATTGGAAAGATTAAATAAAAGAAAAATAAAATAGCAAACTTAAACTTCTCTATGAATTGCACCGCGTTAGTTGCTTTAGTTTCGTTACCAACAGGTCCATTTCGTCTTTTCACGCAATTCGCTGACGTCTGTTAGCTTAAGGGATTAAATCTAGAGCAAATAATATCTAACAATTTGGTTGTTTGGTTGCAGTTAGATTTGCTGACTTCTGACTTCTCAGTTCTCTCAATCATTCTCTGTAAACAAAGCTCAAGGGTTTAGGGCTTATCAGAAACGGAGCAGGAACGCCAAGTATGAATCATTGAAACAAACCCAGCTGCTCCATTCACTTCACTTCATTCCTCTTCCTTCAATTTCATTTTTCTTTTTTTCATTCTCAAAAGGACTTTGTTTTCAATCCGATACGATCGCCGAAAAATGTTGCCAAGATGTAGCGGAGCACTCAGCTCACTAAAATACATAACACATAGAAACCATTTTCATGGTTCTGCCGCAGCTGTGGCTCCAGCTCCTACTCCCACCAAACAACCGGTATTCTAATTTACAGCTTTTCCATCTGTGTGTAGTTTAGATTTATATGTGATTTTGTTTATTATCAGGTAAATCTGGATAAATTGTTTTGGTCTAAGCCTTGTTCCTTGGCCTTGCCCCTGGATTCCCCCCACAGAATTGAGGAGCTACACTATTAAGCGTTTTATTCTACAGCTCATGTTGTTTTATAGTAAACACTAAACAAAGCAAGTCTATTCGAGGCGCAAATGTGATATATCGGCGAGTCGTTTTGCAGGTTGATAAACCTGCCATATATGATGGTCATTTCTTTCTCGTTTTAGTTTTCATGGTTCTATTGATTCTTTACTCTAGAATCTATAAAGTTTACAAGAGATCGTATTAATAGTATAGCTTTCTGTAGTAAATAGATTATAATATAGGAACTGTGGGAATGGTAATAGCAGTAGAAATGATCATTGATTCTGAAAGTTTTTACCTTCTTCAAATTTGATATCCAATGGACATATGCTATGCTGTAAAGTAAATTTGTGAAGATACAAAAATAATCTGTGTCAATTTAGGTAGTGAGGTTTGATACATGCTATTTGAGTTATTTTATTGTGTCTCCACATTCATATAGTGGTAATAAATCAAACCATTGTCTTTCTTGTGCAGTATTTAACTTGGAGAAAACCTTTAGAATGACATTCGCATTACTTGTACTTCATATGTGGTTTGTTCTGCGTTGCAAAATAAGAGGGTAAGGAAGGCATTGAGCTTGGTCAATATCTGTATGAGATCTACAATCATGACGTGGAGCTGAGGGTATCCAAAGCTGGGGTCTGTGCTCATTTTTCTTATATGAACCCCAATTAATTTGGGGATCTATCTCATATATAATTTGTTGCATCTATGACCTTTATTCTCTTCCTAGTTAATTTATTTATTTATTTATTTTTTTTTTCATCCGTTGTAATTGGAAAAATTATCAGTCTTAAAGAGATGCCTAAATTCCTGATCAGTTCATAGTTGATCTAGGAGAATATTGAAGGCCAATCAAAGTATCTTGAACATATGTCTGATTTCTCCTGTTTGGGATATGTTTGAAAATTATATAAATTCATTCAGATATAATCGAAATCCTTATGTTGTTTGCTGAAAAATGTTCAGCATCGATAAGTTCTTAAAAGAAAAGACCATAGATAATCAGTTCTTATGTGTGGCCCACTTGTGTGCTGTTATAGTTCACAACTAGACCCCAAAACTTATTTTAGGTTTCCATCTCTCATCTCATCCATCAGTGTGCTGGCAATGTTTTGACTACAGGCGTAGCTAGCTGTGAAGCAGTTTAATATCAAAAGAGCATGTGCAATGCTTCATCATCATTAGCTTTCTGTTACACTACAAATGCATTGTAATTGTCTACTTTTGCAACTATTGCGTACGAATTTTTGTAACACAGGTTAACTTATTGTTGTCAAAATGGATGAAGGAGTTGGAGAAAATATTCTATGGAAATATTGTTGCTTATGATGCTGCCATGCTTCCAGAGGCTAAACAGGATGAGCTACAAAATGTAATATGGAGGTAAACCATTTTATAAAAGTCAGTCTTGGCATTGCATTTGACATGAAGGGGACTGTCAGTGCTCATATCTTACTATTTCATTGTCATGGGAGAAATATTTTTGGGTAGATTTTTTGTGATTACTAACTCTCTAATTTATTGTAGTCTGGTGTTTATAATTTAGGCAGTGACTTGGGTAATAGCCAGGGGTCCTTGGGTGAGGTAGGCACTTATGCCTGGGCAAAGTTTTTTTTTTGGATATTTACCTTTTTAACAACGATATGCACTGGAGTTTTTTGTGCTGAAGGAATATGTTTTCTGATGATGGTACTTCAAAGCCAGATGATGCTGCATTACGGGCAGTTCAGGCATGTATTCAACTTTGCTTTTGTCACTGTGTTTGTCATCCTTGCTGGATGCAAGGTCTCCATTCATTTTACTGATGTGATAGATATAACAGATAAAATAAAGAATCTCCTGGCTAGGATCTAAATAAATGTTATTTTTGGAATACGATACATCAATCCTCCATTACAAAGAGATAGATGTTTCTTTCCAGCAATGAAGGAAAGTTCGTCATGGTCACTGCTATATGATCAGGTGCAGTGAACTATCAGTTCACTCATAGAGCTGTTGTTTCTTTCCGTATTAAACAGCATACTTTGTCAATCATTGTGGTACACATCCCCCAATACAAAAGGGGTTACTGAAAATGCCATCTTTCTAGCTTTCTGTGTGTGGATCAACTTCTATCTGCAAATTATTCCACCTTCTCTGTGATAATTCTAAGATTTTACAAGGTTCAGACAGCTAATGCTATGGCAGAATATCCTTCTATCAGACAAATCTCTTCGGCTAAATGGCATATAATTGCAATTGAAGTTCCTCAAGAACTGGTGTTTCTAGATATGTCAAACAAGCAAGATATTTGCAGAGACATCAACCCCTCCAATATACAGCTTGATGGGGTAAGTTTTCCCTTGATGCTCTTTTTGTTTTTGTAAACAGTGTAGAAAAACTGAATAATATCCTAAAATTGTTTATGTTTTGTTACACTAGGGTGTTATGGAGACAAGTTTCCTACCTCATACTCCCAGCAACTCCAGACCCGAGAACGCCATGGATGCTGGTGGCTTCACAGATTTGGAAACCTCTCCTGTCTTACCCGTTTGCGTGAAGAAAGATTCGGAAACAAAAAAGAGTCCACAGAGGAAGGGCCTTTGAGAGCTAAAGATTTATTTAAGAAAGCATTTTCGTGGTGGCACCAGAACACTTGCCACATGCAAAATAAAAAAGAGTCCAAAAGCAATGTTTACCATCACTTATTGCTCATCTCCTCATTGTTGGCATCTATAACGCTCCACACAGCCTTAAAGATCCAAGGATACAGAGTGGAAGAAAGCTATGAATACAATTCTAGCATAAATGATGCTGTCTGCCAGACTGAAAATCAATATTATTTCTGTTCAAACTGGTTGATCATTATGTTTAATTCCATCGCCTTTTTCTTATCGGTAGCATTGCTGATGAGACTCTTCAATGAGCTTCCACTCAGGCCATTGTTACAAGTTTCAGTATTTTCAATGGTTGGAGCTTACCTGTGCACAGTATTGGACCCTTTCAAGCCTCGCTCGTGCTCATCCTAGCCCCTATTGATATTGTTGGAATAGCACCCAGCGAAGCTCCTCTTTTGTTGTAGAAATAGAAGTGTTCCAATGCCTACAGGCATGTAGAAAATATTATCAAATATATGTAAAAGTATGAAGTACTCATAGGCCTTAATGCTTGATAATTAGTACTTAAAACTGATTTACAGGATATTTTACTGCTGTTCAATATTACTTCAACATCCTCTACCAAGCAAGGTGCAGGAAGAGCAAATGTGAGCATTGAATTCATCATAGATTATAAATTAATTAAACTTCAATTCTATATCCATTCGGAGATTAAAATCATAATCACAATCTCAATCTCAATAACACAATGATTTTTTTTAAGTGAAAACTAGATTCAGAGAAAAATATAAGAACTTAATAAGTCACCTCAATGAAAACAGTCAAATCAATGATGGAGACACAAAATTCACAATATTACTTTCTCAATGCTTCACTAAGGCAATATTTTGAGAAAAGGTCAGTGTTCATGGCTTTTGTTCCTTTGTCCGTAAGTTCACTTGAGCAAACAATACAGTTGAATCCTAGAAAATAAATAAATAAATAAATAAATCTTTAAATGTAGCTGTTATCTTGCATTGATATGATATTTCTTTACATTTAATTTAATTGTACTTTTGTAGCGGTAGAAAGATCAAAGAAAAGAGGAAGAAAGTGCAAGGGTGATTGAGAGCAGAGAAAACAGCAACTTATTTCAAACTTCTCTTTTCTTTTGCTATTTAACTTACAGACCGGGTTGGATCTTGGTGAAGTCATGATGCTTTGCTGGAAATGCAATGTTCAAGGGCTGCAGTTTGAAGCTATTTTTTGGCGCCAATGAAGAGAAGTGTATTGTGCTGTGCTGGAAGCAGTAGCTTAAGGGCAGTCGGATAACCTTTTTGTGTTATGATGTATTTAGGTGAATGCAGCTGAATGTGAGGCCTTATGTCTCTGAATTGTATTACATTTGTTCAAATTGTGTGGTTTAGCTTTAATCATGTAAAAAGTTCACTGCTGTAGTAGTTGTAACAGTGAGCTGATAAAGTATTATATTTTGTATTTGGTTTGCTTAATGAAATGAATGTTGTTTGCACTCTTCAGTTTTTTCTTTCTTTACATAATTCGGCACTCCAAACCAACAAAATGGTATCAGAGCTATCTCACCAGACCTCCATATAAACTCAAAAACTGACCTTGAATCATCATCAACCTCCAGCCTCCTTAAAGAACAACTCTGTCCCAAACCAAAATCTGTGCTCATGGCAGCTCAGTCAGTATCCCTTTCATCGCCAGTATTCAATGGTGAGCAATACCATATTTAGGCTGTTAGAATGAAAGCCTATCTAAGAGGGTAGGGGCTCTGGCAGTATGTTGAGGAAGAGAAACAACCTCCACAGCTAGGTCCAAATCCTACTCTGAATCAAATGAGGCTGTATGAAAAAGAAATGTCAAAGGCTCCAAGGGCTTTATCTCACATACATTCGGCAGTGACAGACCTTGTGTTTACAAGGATAATGGCATGTGAAATAGAAAAAGAAGCATGAGATAAGCTGAGAGAGGGGTTCATGGGAAGTGATACAACAAGGAACATGCAAGTGATGAACTTGAGGAGAGAATTTGAGATGTTAAGAATGCAGGAAGTTGAGAAAGTGAAAGATTATGTGGATAGACTTATGAGTGTGGTTAATAAGGTCAAGTTACTTGGAGTAGAAATGAGTGATAAGATGATTGTTGAGAAGGTGCTAGTGAGCTTGCTCGAGAGGTTTGAATCAAAGATTTCCTCTCCAGAGGATTCCAAGGACCTGTCACAAATCAGCCTCACTGAGTTAGTCCATGAATTGCAAGCTCAAGAACAAAGAAAATTAATGAGGCAGGAGGATGCTAATGAAGGTGCTATGATGGCAGCTCAAAAAGGAAGGAATGTGTAGGGGAATAACAGAAGGTATGCCGGAGACAAGAAAGGGAAAGAAAAAACCAGTGGACAGTGGGGAAAACCAAGTGGAACAAGGGCCTATCCACCATGTCCTCACTGCAAGAAGAAAGGTCACTCAGAGAACAGGTGCTGGTGTAAGCTTGGGATCCAATGTAGAGCCTGCAAACAATTTGGCCACACTGCAAAGGTGTGCAAGAACAAAGGTACACAGCCACCACAGCAAGCTCAATCTGCAGAGGATCAATAGTAGGGCAATGAGTCTGAACAATTGTTTGGAGCTTCCTGCTACATAGTTCAGACCAGCAATGAAGTGTGGTTGATAGACAGTGGCTGCACCAACCACATGGCAGCCAATTTGCAGAATTTCATTAGGCTGGATAAGACTCACTGCTCCAGAGTCAAAACTGGGAATGGAGAATATATGGAGGCCCAAGGAATTGGAGATGTTGCTGTCTTAACACAATTAGGTACCAAAGTTATCTCAAGTGTTTTATATGTACCAGAAATTACACAAAATTTATTGAGTGTAAGACAAATGCTAGAAAAGAATTATACCTTGCATTTTCAAAACCAATCATGCATCATACTAGATAGTGAGGGAAATGAGCTAATGAATGTGAGGATGCTGGGAAAGAGTTTCCCCGTAGAGTGGAAAAATTCTGAAAATTATGCACTGACCAGTAGGTCTGAAGAGTCTGAACTTTGGCACAAAAGACTTGGCCATTTCCATTACTTAGGTCTCAAAGAACTCAAGAGTAGAGACATGGTCCTAGACTTACTTGAAATAGAGGAGAAGAAGAACCTTTGCATAGCCTGCCAGTTTGGCAAACTCAGCAGGCCATCCATTCCATCGGACCAGGCCCGGAGAGCCAGTGACAAATTACAGTTGATCCACACAGATGTGTGTGGTCCTAGGAAGACTGGATCTCTGAATGGAAGCAGGTACTTTGTACTATTTATTGATGACTTTTCTCGAATGGCCTGGGTATATTTCTTGAGGCAGAAAAATGAAGTAGTTGTTGTATTTAGAAAATTCAAGCTGCTAGTGGAGAATCAAGCTGGGACAATGATCAAAGCCATAAGGAGTGACAATGGGACAGAATACACATCAAGTTAATTATGTTCAATCTGCCAAGAAGCTGGAATTCAGCACCAGTTTACTACTCCTTACACCCCACAGCAGAATGGGGTCAGTGAAAGGAGAAACATAACCATCATGGAGATGTCAAGATGTATAGTGGCAAAGAAGAAGCTCCCCAAGAAGTTATGGGCTGAGGCTGTCAATACAGGAGTTTATCTCAAGAACCAAACTCCAGTTGAAGTCTGGAGTGGAATTAAACCAGCAGTGGGCAACCTGAGGATATTTGGGAGTATATGCTATGTCATGTTCAGATGTTCCAATGTAAAAAGGCACAATGAAAACCAGAGGATAATACTACACTTGCAAATTACTAGACATATTTTTTCTTGTCGAGTCATGTCATATATTTAATTATTTTTTTAACTTTTACTTATCTATGATTTTTATATCAACCAAAACACAAATACATCAAACAAATTAAAATTAAAAAATGCAGCAAATTCATACTTGCAAAATTAATGATTAGAGATTAATGGCCTCTATCTAATTTTTTGATTTACTTGTCAGGCCCCATGCTTAATTCCCCAATAATAATTTTATAAATCAGTGAAATATCTTTAAATTGGGTGGTCGTCCAAATTTCTGTGAAATGAAAGAGAATTTTCGGGAGATGTTAGGAAGATACAGGTAAACTTCCCTCTTGTTACTTTTGTTTTTTTTTTTTTGGTGATTATTGATCAAGTAAATTATGTTCTTCAGATAGGAACATTTTGCTTAGACACCGAATCAAAGTAGTCTATCCCAATATTTTAGTAAGTCATTTGGTTTTAGTAAGTCATTGGGAAAATCACTTAAAGGAGAAGAATACACTTCTACCATTTCCAAGTATTACCAGTCAACCCATAAAGCCCAGGAGAAGTTTTGCTTAAGCTTTATTAGCCTCTGTTATGCCTGAAAAAGTAGGGCTAACGCCAAGCCTTGTCAGTGTGGGGGTAGAGCTTGTTATGTTAGAGGAGATGCCCTAGAGCCAATCAATTATTGTAGAATTGACTCTTTGTAATAATGTTCATTAATCAATAAAAAAGACATTTATTCTAATCGGTAAATCATTATTATTGCAATATGTATTGAATATGTCCTTAGAATGGTAGAATCATGACGAGGGTATCAAGTGTTTCAAATCTTGATAGTGAGAACCCTATAAGCACTATGGTGGCCATTCTAGAAACGTCCGTAGCCCCAGTATTATTCTGAAGTAAGGGCACATATAATACAGTAGGCTATCATAGTGTTGAACGACCCTGTCGAAAGGCGTGATGATCTCACTTGTCAAGGTTTGGTGACAACTTGGTGCAACAGATGGGTGCTGTTTTGTAGGGGATATACCGCAGCAAGTTCACTGGACTGACCACCGAGGATTCCATATGGATGGTAACCCCAATGTCTATGGAACAAATCCTCTAACGAATGATGGTGCATGTAATCCTTAACTTGAGATCGCCAGAGCGCCTTGTGCACCGATTGGTAGAGTTTGACATAGCCTAACACAGTTCTATTCAGAGCTGTCAGTACGGTGGTGATTGCTGTATCAAGGAGTGTATCAAGACTATGGTGGATTAACAGAGGATTCATCACTCCGGGTACGGAGAAGTTATCTCACGGCGAATTTAGTAAGGCAATGACACTAAAACTGTGGCCACAGGGATTGAGTTGTGCTCTATGGATATAATACAGATCATTGGTCTAGAAACTGAATACATAATATCGAGAGTAACGAAGGTTGAACTATTTATGTGCCTTCGTCTCGTCCGAGATAACGTATGATAAAGGATCGAATTGTACGGTAACCATATCGTTGACAGGTAGCTACTTTGCTGAATCTGAATCTATCGGGTGGCCATGATGCCTTGCTAGGGGCCAATCTTGGTCTGTGTATTAGTGAGACGATTAATTGGTGTTAATCGTGATACTATACACTACCGGTATGATGAGGAGCCTATGAGTCACACACATAGAAGATAATTTAAGAGCCAAGAAGAAAGAAGGGCATTTTCGTCTTTTTAGGTGAAAGGGTATTTTGGTAATTTCATAGTGCAATTAAATTTGTTGAGGTCGTAGCCTTTTATTAATTTGTTAGAAAAATTAAATAAGCGAAATTACGGTTAAATGTGTGTTCG